TGGACATCTTCCACCTACTGATCTCCTGCCCTGGGGTGGAAATAGGGGACAGCAGAAGGGGCAGTGTGCACGTGGCATCCATCCTCCAGTCCCTTTGGACAAAGATGCTGCTTTGTCCTTTTGCCATGCACAAAGACATCTCTGTGCCAAATTACTGAGCCTGGCAGTCATCTGGGGCTGGGATGCTGCTGGGGCTCATGAAAAGCCACCCTGACTGACCCTCTGGCATGTTCCCGGTGCCATCACCCCATGGACTGCTGCAGTGGAAGGCTGTGTGTATGGGGGCCAAGGCTGGAGGGGGTTTCTTGCCTGCAGAGAACCAGACTCGGCAGCAGCAGGGTCCACTGAGCACAGCAAAGGGCCACCCCATGACAGCCACTGTGGGAAACCCACTCCACTGCTTCGTGGTCCTAATTGGGGCTGTCACTTCCTGTTAATGAGCCCTTTTCCCTTCCTCTCCTCTCCGGTGCTGAGCCCTGGGGGTTTCCAGCAGCAGAGCAAACCCTGGCCACAGCCTCCTGGGAATGCTGATGTGGGTGCAGGGATGGCAGCCTTGTTATGCAGCCCAGCACCCCCAGAGAGCTCCTCTCCCCTCTCCTACATGCTGATGCTGCCATGCAAAGGGACCTGTGTCCTCCAGGGATGCTGCTGGTGACGGTGGTGGGACGGGAAGGAGCAGCCAGAGGGACAGCAGCTGGCTCACACCTCCTCTGAGGCAGAGCACCTGCTATCAGCCTTCGGGGCTTGCTTTGCCTAGGGGATGGGATGGAGGAAACTGGCAACCCAGCTCCGAGGCAGTGCACATGCAAGGGGAGAGGAGCATCCCCCCTCCCTCACTCCCAGCTCTGATATTGGCCCCAACCTCCCACTTGCTGGGACAGAAAGTCATGATAGTCATCCAAGACCATCGGCTGCTTTACACTCATCCACCCCTCCCTACTCCTCCCTCCATCTCCCCCTCCTTCCTTTCCCAACAAACCCTAATTAAACTGTCTGAAAGCCACCGCCTGGTTTTAATTAGTGCAAAATGCCGAAGATTAGGCTGAAATTTGCCGCAGGTTGTTTACTGGCCGTCAGTTGTTGGAGGCAGTGGCAGCCTGGTGGCTGCTCCCTGGGGCTGGGCAAGGCTGGGGGGCACATTCACACCCTCTGGGGCTACCAGGGGACCCACCACCAGCCACACCACATCCCAACGCCTCCGGCTTACTACGAAACTATGCTGATACTGAAAGCCACGATACCACCAGCTGCTGGATTTTCACCTGTATCCATAAACATGGGGCTGGAGGATGGATGAGGCCCATCCAGCCCAGCAGGCTGGAACAGGTCTAGCCCTGCCCTGGGCTGTGATGAATTCCTGCCAGAGGTGCTGGATTAATCAATACCAGACATCTCCACTGCTCGTAGCTCGTTATCACCATCTATGGCTTAGGGAGAGACGGATGGATCCATAGTTGGCAAGTGCACACAGCAGGTCCTTCACCTCCAATGAGGAGGTTGAGGTGATCCTGACAGGAGTTTTCCACCTACTGATCACCTATCCTGAGGTAGAAACTGGGGACAGAAGGGAGGAGGATGCATGTGGCATGGCCAGACCTGCTTCAAACCCTCTCTCCACTGCTGCTTTCCTCCTACAGAGAGTTTGCTCGTTGGAAGGTGAATAATTTGGCCTTGGAGAGGAAAGACTTCTTCAGCCTCCCACTTCCCCTGGCCCCAGAATTCATCCGCAACATCAGGCTGCTGGGACGCCGGCCCAGCCCCCAGCAGATCACTGACAGCCTCATCAAAAAGTATGGGACCCACTTCTTGCTGGCAGCCACGCTGGGAGGTGAGTGCTCCCACTGCCCCCCTTGCACAGGGAGTGTGCAAAGGAGGGAGAGTGGGAGGAATAAGCACTGAAATGCAACCAAGAAAGGGAACGGGGGGAGCCCAGCAGCCCCCCCAAAGCATCGTGTGTTCCCACAGGAGAGGAGTCCCTGACCATTTTTGTGGACAAACGCAAGCTGAGCCGGAGGGCAGAGCCCACTGGGGGGGCTGGGAACAGCTCGGGGGTCTCACTGGAGACCCTGCACCAGCTGGCAGCCTCCTACTTCATCGACAGGGAGAGCACACTGCGACGGCTCCACCACATCCAGATCGCCACGGCTGCCATCAAGGTAGGAGAGGGTGTGAGGGACAGGGCAGTGCGTGGAGACAGCAGCCCAGAGCCTCACCAGAGGCCCATCCAACTGGCTGAGACCCTAAAACAGCATCCCCCAGAGAGGGGGGAGCAGGGAAAGTCAACACATTCCCGTTATTTATGGGATATTGGGCACGCTAATAAAGGGACATTTTTCAGCAGGGCTGCTGCCTGTCAACCATGCAATTAACAGATAATTAGTTCTCCTCTCCAAGCATCCCTTTGGGATGTGGGGCATAGCCAGGGGCTGTCGGCAGCACTCGGTGGGGTAGCACACACCCTGTGTCCCTGACCACCTGTGTGTCCCACCCTTAGGTGACTGAAACACGGACAGGTCCACTCGGCTGCAGCAACTACGACAACCTGGATTCAGTGAGCTCTGTCCTGGTGCAGAGCCCTGAGAACAAAGTGCAGCTCCAAGGTAGGACTGGGCTGGTGGGGACAGAGGAGAGTCACCGTGGGATGCTTGTGGCTGCGGCAGGGGGTTGCAGGGGAGGATGCTGGTTCGAGATGCTGCTTTTAATTTAAGGGCTGGGGAGGAGAGGGGATGAAAAGCTGGGCAGGATGAGGTTGTTGCTTGTCTGCCAAGACGAGCCAAGATCGATGTAGAGCCCAGACAAGCGGCTCCACAGCAAATTGATATGATAATCGCGGGTGGGAGCCTGGGGAGGGGGAAGGCTCGTGCCCTCCTCGCCCGGGTGATGTTGGAGGGGCTCTGTGTGTGCTCTGACATTCTCGGGGCTGCCTCCTGCTCACAGGGCTGCAGACTGTGCTCCCCTCCTACCTGCGGGAGAGGTTCGTGGCAGCTGCCCTCAGCTACATCGCCTGCAGCTCGGCCGGGGAGCTGGTGTGCCGCCGGAGCGACTGCCGCTGCCAGTGCCAGCCCACCTTCCCCCGCTGCAACTGCCCCGAGGCTGACATCCAGGCACTGGAGAGCAGCCTGGCCCAGCTCTGGAGAGCTTGGGAAAGCCACCACAGCCAGTTCGAGGAGTCAGGTGAGGCTGGGATGACATGCACCATCGCCTTCCTCGCAGCCCCCCCTTTGGGAGCAGCAGCCCCTCCTTTGGGAGCAGCCCAGGCTGGGTGGTTGGTCTCCAGGGTGGTTATCTCACCGTGAAGACCTCAGAGCTTGGGTGGAGGGAGGTTGTTTTCAGCCTTACCTTCACTGCTTGCTCTCTCCTGCATCTGCTGATGCCATCTCCTTCTCCCCACAGAGGAGTTTCAGGCCCTGGTGAAGAGGCTCCCCACGGACCGTTTCCTGAACAGGACAGCCATCTCCCACTTCTGGGCCATGGATTTGGACATCCAGCATCGCTACCAACAGTTGGGCACCAGCCTGAAGCTGCTCTCCAGGAAAACCTACCGACTCATCCGGCGGCTCTTCAACCTCAGCAAACGCTGCCACCGGCAGCCTCGCTTCAAGCTGCCGAAGGAGAGGTAAGGTGCCACAGCATCCTCTGCCAGGGATGCTGCTCAGATCCCTGAGTGAGGCTCAGACCCATGGCCCACCACCCTGTGGCTGGGGCTGGAGGAGCTCCCACCCTGCTGGAGCGATACCTGGGGATGAACAGGCAGCAGGGGCAGCTGTGCCACCTTGGGATGTGGCCCTGAGAGGTTGGGTCCAAACCTGCAGGTGGAAAATGAGGCTTGGGTTATAGGGGGCGACCAGTGGAGAAGCAAATTAACACAAGGTGGGCAGCTTTTCTATCCCTAGGGAAAGCCAGTCGTGTCCCAGAAGGTGCCATGTAAGCATCTCTCCTCCCACGTCTCTCCTATCCACCAGGTCCCTCCCTTACTGGTGGAGCCGCGCACAGTCGCTCCTGTACTGCAGCGAGACCACCGTGCCTGGGACCTTCCTGGAAGAAAGCCACAGCTGCAGCTGCCCCTCTGACCAGCCCTCCTGCCAGGGGTCCATACCGTGTGCCTTGGGCGAGGGGCCAGCCTGTGCCAGCTGTGCTGGGGACAACAGCACCCGCTGTGGGACCTGCAACCACGGCTACGTGCTCACCCAGGGCTTCTGCCGCCCCGAGGTGGCTGACTCACTGGAGCACTACCTGGGGCTGGAGACAGATTTGCAGGACTTGGAGCTCAAGTACCTCCTGCAGAAACGGGACAGCCGCATCGAGGTGCACTCCATCTTCATCAGCAATGACATGCGCCTGGGCAGCTGGTTCGACCCCTCCTGGAGGAAGCGTATGCTCTTGACCCTGAAGAGCAACAAGTACAAGCCTGGGCTGGTTCATGTCATGTTGGCCCTCTCCCTGCAGATCTGCCTCACCAAGAACAGCACGCTGGAGCCTGTCATGGCCATCTATGTCAACCCCTTTGGGGGCAGCCACTCGGAGAGCTGGTTCATGCCCGTCAACGAGGGCAGCTTCCCAGACTGGGAAAGGACTAACGTAGATGCCTCTGCCCAGTGCCAAAACTGGACGCTCACCTTGGGCAACAAGTGGAAGACCTTCTTTGAAACGGTCCATGTCTACTTGCGGAGCCGCATCAAGTCTCTGGATGACAGCTCCAATGAGACAATCTATTATGAGCCCTTGGAGATGTCAGATCCCTCCAAGAACCTGGGGTACATGAAAATCAACAGCTTGCAAGTCTTTGGCTACAGCCTGCCCTTTGAGCCAGATGCTATCCGTGACCTGATCCTCCAGCTGGACTACCCCTACACCCAGGGCTCCCAGGACTCAGCCATGCTCCAGCTGCTGGAGATCAGGGACCGGGTGAACAGGTTGTCACCTCCTGGCAAAACTCGCCTTGACCTCTTCACTTGCTTGCTCCGTCACCGGCTCAAGTTGGCCAACAACGAGGTGACGAGGATCCAGTCCTCCTTGAGAGCCTTCAATGCCAAGCTGCCCAATTCATTGGAGCAGGAGACAGGCAAGCTGTGCAGCTAACAGCCGGGGAGTGCTCAGACCTTGGAGCCAGGGGGCTGGGAGAAAGGACTTCCTGGGGAGAAGGGAGAAATAACCACCCTAAAAATTTCAATCAAGGCCTTACCTTAGTGCCAACCGCGTGCTTCCATGGTACACCCAGCGACTGGCCAAAGAGACACAGGGCTCGAGCAGATGGAGGATGCCAGTGGGACTATGGAGGAGGGATGGCTCATGCAGTGCAGACTGGCTCTGAGTGTGGGGACGATGCCAGCACAGCCACATCAGTGGCCAGGGAGATGCGCTGATGGCCCAGGAGGATGTGGCTCAGCCAGAGGCAGCTGCTGGTCCTACTGGAGCAGATGCCCAAGTCAGCATGAAGATCCCCCAGTGGTGGCCTCTTCACCACCCCAACTTTTGTAGTCTTTTTAAGAGGTTTCTACTGGCACCTTTATGTTGACATCCCCAACGATCCATCCTGCAGCCATATCCTCACACACGGTGCTGTTGGGGGTCCACAGTGCAGGCCCCCAACCCCTGGCAGATCTCCCCTGGGGCCTCTCCACAAGCAACTTGTATCTGCTGTGGTACCAAGGCATCGTCACCCCTTGTGTGGGAAGGACCTGACACCTGCACTGTAGACTCTGCCATCACGGACACCAGTGGAGACCTCTGGGCCACAGTTCCCTACTAAACAAAGAAACAAGAAACCTAAAGCAAATGAAAGAAAAAGGAGGGGAAAAAAAAGTTTTATTTATGTATTTATTTATTTGGTTTGTTCGGGAGGGTTTTTTTTTAAAGCCTATTTATTTGGGGGGTGTCATTTCTTGTCAGTGGCTCCAGCCAAGAGACATCTTAGTAAAATGTATCTGTTTAATATATTTTTTAAAAAATGCCTTTTTTGAGCAAAAGAGCAACCAAAACCAACTGAGATTAAAAAAAAAAAAAAAAAAAAGAAAGAAAAGAACAGAACAGTTACTGTCATCCCTGGCCATGGCTTTTCCCATGCTATGTGGCTCCCCTCCTTCCCTCTCTCCCTGGTGCTGCTGCTGCTGCCGTGCTCAGTGCCTGACTGGAATATCAAGCAGTGGAGCTGCCCGGCTGTCAGATGGGAACACTGGGTACCCAGACAAGTGGAGCTCACTGCTTCAGTGGCTGCTCTCATTCCTTGTCTGAGGATGAGCTAGAGAGAGGAAGGAGCCAACGCTCTGACCTGCAGCATCCCCAAAGCAAGGGGTGTGGACAGAGGGGATGGTGCAGGGAGAAGAAGAGGGGTGGGAAAAGTGTATCAGTGTGCAGATCTGAGCCCACTTCCTTATCCTCCCTGGCTGGCAAAAATTGCCTGCTTGTATGCTGCAGAAGCAGTGGTAACCCAAACTCATCCATCCTGGTTCTGTCACCCACCTCCCCTCCATCCTCAGGCTGGGCATATAAAGAGATAAGTAGGAGGGAAATAACACCAGGAGAGATAAAGAGATAGGCAAGAGGAAAATAAAACGGGGATAGATAAACCACACTTGCTATTTATATTCCCTGTCTAATCTATCAATCCATCAGGCTGGCTATTGTGGTTATAGCATCCCTCAATCTGTCACCTGGACTTCTCCACACATCTGTCTTCCTTTGCCCACCTCTCCTCCCTTGCCTCCCAGGCCTGAAGGGAAAAAAAAGCAGGGAATTAAACACACCAGGAGGAAATGAGAAGTGAAAGTCATCATCTTGGCTCCCCAGGGGAAACTGGCAGACATAACCCCGGGGTTGAGGAGGGTACAGGTGAGAAGGCTGGCAGTGCTCCTGAGCAGGCAGGGCTGCTGGGGAGATTCCCAGCTAGTAAGACTATTTCAGCTTCTTCTACACCTCTTCCTGGGCCATCACATCACTTCTTCATTGCCCAGAAAAGCCATGGATGCCCCAACCCTGAAAGTGTTCCAGGCCAGGTTGGATGTGGCTTTGAGCAACCTGGTCTAGTGGAAAGTGTCCCTGCCTATGGCAGGGGGGGGAACCAGATGAGCTTTAAGGTCCTTTCCAACCCATTCTGAGATTTTTCTCCCCATCATCATGTGGGCCATGTGTCAGGCTAATGTTCCTTGGCTCCATCCTTTGTCTCCTCCAGACAGAACATTTCCTACCATGTTTTTCAGTGCCCTGAAGCAGTCCCACATCCTAAACTCACCTGAACAGGAATGCAAGAGCCATAGGGACATCTGGCAGCATATCAAGAAGTCACTGTCCAAGGCATGGTGAGGCAGCTTCCACCTGTCAAGGGATGGACCCTGGGCTTCTCTGCCTTGGTGGTGGCTCCAGAGTCAGGAAGGTGATGCCCTAACAGTCCTGTGTGAGAGGACAGAGATGGATGGAGGCTGTTTACTTTTAGTGTAATGCAAAAATAAAAAGGGGGGAAAAGGGGAAGAAATGTAGCTGGAAGAAGGTGCCATCAACTCTTCGCATCCTCAGCAGTTGCCCCTGAGGCTGCAGCCTCCTCTCTCCACAGCCCCCCAGAAAGATTTCATTGTCTATTGCCCCAAAGCACCAAATTGGGCCCAAATTGCCAATTCTCATCAGCAATGAGGCTGTGCATGGCATTCCAAGGCTGGCAGCTGGCACAGCACCTTCTCAGCAAAGCAGCCCGTTAGGAAGCACAGGGGCTGGCAGACAAGGAGGGATGCTGAACACATCCCTGCTCATCAGCCCCCCACACTGTGGGGCTGCAACCCTTCTTTAAGCCAGTGGAGGAAAAGGCAGGGGTCGTTCCTTGAATTTTGCTGCTAAATTGCTGTATTTGGGGAGAGAACAACTTCCACCTTTTTTGGGAGGTGTGAGTATGTGAATTAAAGAAAGAGCTGCAACAGCAGTGTGCTCCCCCAGGAAGGGAATGTCAGGCTGCATGGGAGTTTAGGGTGGAATCCAGGTCCTCCCATCCCTGTTCAGCAATTAAGGCACTCGATGGAGGTGATTAAGAGGATGAGGTTAATAACTGGAGGTCAGCATCTGATTACCTTGCAGTGCTTTCCCTTGCAAAGAGCCATGGCTGGAGAGTCACTGCCAGCAGGATCTGGTCGTGGGATGTAAACAGCCAGTGTTCTTCCCTAAAACAGGAATTCAGTGTCAAACCCATTAGGTTTTAAAAACTGGTGTGTTTGGGGGTTATCCTTACCTGGGCTCTGCATTTCTAAGAGATCCTCTGCAGCATGAAAGCCTGAAAGCTGCTTTCAAATAAGGAGCTGAGCTCCTCACTCACTTGACTGCAGACACCCTGGCTCCCTCTGGACACGTTTATCTAGCAGCTCTGCCAGGAAGAAGGAGGTCAGGGAAAGGCCAGGCTGTTTTGCCCCCAGCCCTGGCAGCAGGATGGGATTATCCACAGTGCTCTCCCCAGTATCCATGCTCATGGCCCTCAGGTGGGGGCTGGTCCCACCTCCATCTCCTGCCCTGAGACACAGCCAGTGATGGACTGAACTCTGCTACACCTGAGCTGAACAGCTTGTGGCTCCAGCTACCTAACCTACACCCTTTTACCCCTCCTGTTTTCACCTCTTTTCCCCAGCACTGGCTGGAGCCTCCATCCCTGTGTGCCATGAGGTGGTGCCTTTGTCCCCATTGCATCAGGTTGTGCCAAACCAGCCAGGACAGCTTTGCCATGAAGAAGCAGGATGGAGAGAGGCTCAGGGGATGTCTGCATCCTTGCTCCAGCTTGCCTTGGTTTCCCCCCTTACAGCTCCCAGCTGATGCTGTGCCAGTCTGGGAGGAGCATGGAATGTAGAGGGTAAAACATCCCTGGGGCAGGAGGGAGGGCTGGAGGGCTTCAGGTAACTCATTCTGCTGGCAGATACTCTTTTTCTTTGCATGCAAACAGCACACTGGTGCAGATTTTGCTTGAAATTCATCCCTGTGGTCTCTTGGTTGGGGCCACAAGATGGGCAAGAAGTGGGAATCAGACGTTTGGCTTGGCAGGAGGCTTCATGCTGAGCATTTTGCCCAGGGCTCCTCCAGCTCCATTAGCTGCACAGAACCACCAGGCAGCTGCCAACAGAGCTGCTCTGCTGTTTGAGTGCTTCTGGGGGAGGCAGGCGATGCCAAGCTGCCTGTGGACCTCTCTGCCCCAGCACGAGGCTGCTCCAGCTTCTTCCTTATAACAGTTTCGCTGCAGGTACCAGAGATGCTCCTGGGCACACATGGGATTGCTGCTCACTCTCCCAACTAAGCCAGCAGATGGTGGGATGCAATCCCAGGGAAACCAGGGATCCCCAGGTCGGGCAGTGCCATAGCCTAGAGCTGCTCTGCCAACACAAGCCCACAGAAACTTATCAACATTCTCTCCACACTCCAGGCTCGTGGGTGGTGGGGTTTGCCACCAGCCTCCCTTGCTTCCCTCTGCCTCTCCAAAGCCCAGCAACATCTGCATAGCCAAGAGGCAAGCCGAAACCTCACCATCTCCTCTTTAGCCTCAGCTTCCTTTTTCTCCCTCCTCTCCTGACAAGCTCAGAAGTGCAGTCAAGGTGGTAAATTAGCACCAGAGCCTTGTTAATTGGCAGGCAGGAGCCTTCTCCTGCTGTTTGGGCTGTCATCAGCTGCTTCAGCACATTTTCAGCTTCTCTTGCTTTCGGTCTATTTTCTCCCTTTGCCGATTCTGGGCTGGGTTTTTCCCTCTCTGCCATCTCCTTCAAAGCCATTGAGGACTCTCATCCTCCCATGCCATGCTCCCTGGTGTTTTCTCTCCAGAGAGGACTTACAGGGCCTGTGGTAAATGGCCACTTCTTAGGGAGCATGGCAGGACAATTAAGAAGCTCTTGAAATGATGACGACCTCGGCATCTTCCTCCTCCTCAGCCTCCTGCCACAATGTCTGAAGGAGGCAGGAGAAGCAGCACAGAGCAGGCAAGAGGAAGGTCTCTGCAAACCCAGGCATGCAGAACATGACCCATTTACCTTCCTGTGTCCCCACTAGAAGCTCAGTGAAGACCTGGAATGACTCAGTCTGGTGGAGACCTTAGGAAGCCCCAGTTCCTCAGCTCCGACTCCTCCTTAAGCAAAGATGGAAAAGCATAACTTCACCCACACAACCCTACAACCTG